TGACAGAAGAAGTGTATTTTGGGGGTATATGACGAACTGCAGGTCGAAATCACTAGGAGATTAGTTGGGGACGAGTATGTTACTATACTAAGAGATTTTCTTGTCCGGAGTTATAGAATTCCAGAGGACCAGGTTTTAAACCCTTGCAGGACATTATCACTGTTAACTAACATTTATATTACAGAGTCTGCTTCTTCTTCATCTTCTTGTAAAATCTTGGCCAGTCATTTTTGTCTTGATATTTGTAAAATCACGAGGTAAAACGTTTTTTCCAGTTTTCTGCTAAATATAATCTTAGGTCTTTTTGGGTTGAGTACTTCTTCTTTTTCAGTCCTATCCAAATGACGTTTTTTCAGTAATAAATGAAATGTTTCTTTATTAGCATCATGATTATGAGTTTTAACAACATTGCTCAAAATTAAACTTTGCCTATCATCTGCTAAAGTGAATACGATTTTCATGGAGCAGACTTCTTTAAACGTACTGGATTAAAAATAAAAACTTATTACTTAAAATTACCTGACATGTCTTTCTCCCTTACTGGTAGTTTTAAATTTTTTCCCACCTTTAATACATGTATATTCTAAACGATAATAAACCAATTCACTTTTTGCTTTTGCACACTTCTGAGGACAAACTTTCGCAACTGTTGATAATTTCTTTGCATGTCTTTTGTATAAAGTTCACTTTTTTCTACTTGTTTAACATAATTGTACACATCCGTTAAATTTTTAAACTTTTCTTCTACAGTTATTGCTAAACTCATTTTAAATCACTCTTTACCTAAATAGTTAGGTAAACCTATTTTTTTATTTTAATGGAGATTATTATTTATTATTATGTTTTGCTGTTAATACTTTGCAAACCATGGTTATGTTTATTATGCGTGTACGTAATTAGAGTTCTTCACCCACACTGCATCTTTCTAAATAACTCGGAATAATAAGAAAAAGTACTAAATATCCGAAAATCGGAATTTTAAATAAAAATCTTATTCATCCAATTGTCGGACGAATATCCACGGCCATAAATAATTGAGAAAAATAGGCATTTGTTTGAGGTACGTGACTTTAAGCATTGTGTAATGGCAGCCGTTGGGGAAATTAAAACATGTAAAACAATCATTTATAACAAAATATGTAGTATAAATAATATCAAAGACCAACCTGTATATTCTTCTAATATGAAAAAACCTCAATGTACGAAGATCCCACAATTTTTGAAGTTTTTCTAGTTTTTAACATTTGTCTCACGTGTGTAGTCACCCTAATAATTCAATCGAAAAAACCTTTTTCAAGCCTCCTTCTCACCATCATCAAAAAATGGACTCGTCCAAAACAGTAGAAGCTTCTTTCTGCATGCGCATTGTAGAACTTGTACTTAAAGTTCCTTTTTTTCTTTTAAGAATTAACAGCACGGCTTCAAATATTAGTTAAGTACCCTATTTACGATAACTAGATAATTTACAATAATCTTCTTAACCCAATCATTACATTTTTATAACAATAATAATGAATATAAAACCAAAAACGCACAACTGTACAAACAGTTGCCTATAACTAAAAGCCTAAAGTTGTAATTAAATAATAATATTCAATTAGGGATATTTTAATACTACAAAAATATAAGTAAGATAAGTACCAGAATTTTTCAAGACAAGTGATATTTTTCAGAGAATACAAAAATAATAATTTATTAAATAATCACGAAACACGGTTATGCATTCATGTTCTTTAATCTGTTTATTCTCATAAACAGTTTAGTTTTAGAAACTGAGAATCAAGACTTGGTGGAAGCCATTGAGTTAGCAGATGCTGCAAAAAATGTATTAACGCTCAAAAGAGAAAACGCGATAAAAAATTTCAAACAATTCAATTGATTTGTGAAGACAAATGCAACGCTGCAACGTCACGACCGAAAACATTAAAGACTATTATCGAATAAGTATCTACATTCCCATAGATCTATTTATCTCCCATTTACAATATTGTTTTCTAACACATCAAAATGTTTTATCCAGTTTGGCTTGTCTTTTTCCCGGCAAAATGAAGTCCAGCTTTGTAGAAAGCGCATTGTTGATATGCAAATTCGGAACTTAGGCTCCGATGCTTTTTTGCTTCTTCTAAAATCGAACCTGAGATCGACAATAAAAGAAGATCGTCTCAGTGGACTCTCCTCTCTAAATATAAATCGCGATGTTAAAGTAAACGTGGAGTCAGTTTTAAACAAATCCTTTTCTCTCTCTCGGCGAATCAAATTATTTAATGAAAAATTAAAAAGAAAATATGCATTACGTCATTAGTCATAATAAAATTCTATATTAATTTTTTTACATGAAATAAACAGTTTGTTTTTCCTACAACAATTATTATTTTAAATGTATATATGTACAATTTAATGATAAGTCTCCCATAAGTAAATCCTGCACACTGCCCTGGTGTTTATATATAAAGACCCAATAGTAGGCAAACATCAGCATTTCAATGTCCAAAATTTTAATAAGTCGCCAATATATTAAATGGCCCAAACTTTTAATAAAGTAGCAAATATTTGTGATATTAATATTAATTACACAGGCCCACAAAATAAAAAAAGTTGCGTGTACTAAGGAACGAAACTTCTAAAAAAAACATGAACTGTTAATTCCTTCCCTAAGTGGGTAAATTGGGACCACAGACCATCTGGTCTGTGATTGGGACACTCAAATACGTTTATGTCAAAATTCGTGCGTGATATTTTGTAGCCCGATATTCTGTAGGCCGAAAAGTAATATATGCAATTTTTTTTGTTTGATTTTTGTTGATTTTATGACTTTATCCAATCAAAGAAGAACCATCTTGTTTTAATCATTAACTTTGGGACATGAATTCCTGCTACTTCTTCGTGCCAGCTGGCTGCTGATCCGCTACATTTTTTTTGCAAATTCTGCCATACATTAATTGGAAACAGCAAAAACATTAACTGTAATTTAAACTATTGCGTAGGCAAGACACACAGCTTTACTAGAGGAGGCTTGAATAGGCCCTGTTTTATACGTACTGTTGCCACTCTGTTGACATCGGATCTTGGATGGAGTTCCCGGACTCTACCAGGAAGCCACTTACCTGGAGGTAAGTTTTCATTCTTGATAACAACCAATTTCCAATGCAGGCCTATACTTGGTACGTGACTGGCGAACGCTTTGCACCAACTGCCAACGAGACAAACGATTTAAGGTGATGGTGCTTAAACCTCATCCGGAGGATGGACAGTGTCCGCTGGACACCGGTTCCATATTTTGAAAAAGATTCGGCGTGAGAGCCGTCAAGTGGTTCGGATCTGAACTAATGGCCAGGAACGGTCTGGAATTTAAGACCATTTCGATTTGGGTTAATAATCTGCTTACTAATAACACGAGAAATGTACGTCTTAACGGATTTAATTACTTCCTCCCAAACTATCACAAGCTTTTTGTTTGTATCAGCATAGTATTGGCACCAACAAAGTTGGTGCCACAATCGCTGTAGATATCGGAAACCCGACCTCTCCTAGCAACAAATTGGCGAAGAGCAGCCAAAAAGGCTTCTGAACTAAGACTGGAAAAAAATTCGATATAAACAGTATGGTGGAGCGAAATAAGGGACAACATTTTTTTTGTAATATTTATAAATAACTATATTTACAATAACTGCCTATTGGTTAGACAGAGATATCTGCAAAATCTGGGCGTAATTAAGTTACATCTTCAGGTAGCGCCACAAGGTCAACTTAAGAAAAATCTCAAAGAAACAAAATAAATATTTTTTCTTCTTATTAACTCTTATAGCACTAAAAAAATTGATATATGACGTTTAAGCAACAATAGATTTTGCGAAAAAATGTCTTTTTGTCTCAAATTGGGGGCAAATCACAACGAGACTTTAGACGACTTATTATAAACCCATCTCTAGTTTTTTCACCACAAACGCTAACTCAGGCCTCAGTTACCAGCTTAATATGTCTTTCGACTGCTTGATAGTAATATGTAAAATTTTGGATAATTGGAGGCTCACTTAAACATTCATCTGACCAACTAATTGAATTAAAGTACTTCAGCATCAAAATTCAGTTGCGGTACTTCGAAAGTATGTATTTACGAACTCTGCATTAGTATTCTCGCCTTCATAATGCGTCTCAATGTTTTTTCTTTGGCGTAAAATCCATTTATCTGAATGACCTTACGCACAATATCTTTAACATGTTCTGGTAAGTACAGAGACTTTTTTATTATACCAAGCAAGTGCTTCGGAGCATCTTTGACGTGTGGAGAAGTCTTTACTTCAAACCAGGTAAAAGTATAAACTTTCATTACAAATTCGTTTAAAATTATTAAATTTTACGTCGGATTTTGAGTAGATACATACAATCGAAGGATCCTATTGGCCGTAGTTAGCCACCTAAATGGGCCATCTTACCTGGTTTCCTGATATTTTTGGTCGCTACTTAAATTATTTAAAACAACATCAGGCATTGCGGAAAATTTTACAGAGATTTCAATGAAATCTACAGTTTTTAGACGCTCACAGGATTAGAGATCATGCCCAATTTTGTGAAAAAACTCCTTTTGGCCCCATATGTTTCCATCCAGCTTTTGAAATAAATGACGGAGCAGCAATTCGTTGCAATGCAGTAAAAAGATAAACCAATGTAATGGCCAGCCTACGAAATGTTATAATTGTAATATAACACCCTTTTCTCCCTGTATTGTCAAATGTGCCATCGGATTCAACTGCAACCAGTTTACTTAAGCTGATACTATTTATTTAAAAAAAATTCACTATACATGTTCGAATATTTTTTGCAGAACCACTGTCCGCTAAAATAACTACGTGTTCTTTATAGTTTTTCAATAAAAACGCTCTTCTTTCTTTTCCTGAACTAAAGTAGTATCTTTTATACTATGAAAAAAAATACTTAAAGGCTCTAGGAGCAGCGAAGTATTTTGTAAATTTTCGCGTATTTTCTTTGGTTCCCGTCCAAATTTATTCATGTTTAATAATTCCTGTTTCTATAATTTGTGTTTGGTTATCTGGGGTTATGATGCCAATATCTTTTAGTACTGCAGACACAATATTAGCTGCTGTATTATCCGACACCCCTGTTCTTTCATACGCAATAGCTAGATTTGGTAAGTGAACCCTCATCTGGTTAGACTTGTCTAGAAAGTAGACTTCGGCATCATCAACAGCATTTTCCCCTTTAAAAGTGGAGTTATCTTCTTACTTGATATATCTCGTTGTTCTCAGTTTTAATTCTATTTCTGGTTCTCTCTGTCAACTTGCTTTCGTTTTCTCTCATATCTCCCTTCTACCTTTTTATTTGTTTTTACATCCAGTGTTCCAAATATTATATTTCTTTATTTCCTTTGATTCTTTAAAAGGTGGCGTTCGCTTAACGGAATTTTAATTTTACATTTACATTTACAATAATCATAGCATTTACAAATTGAGACATAAAAAAGTTTTTGTTCTGCTAATGCAAGAAAATTTTTAATCTTTTTTATTATTTCGAGACTTTGAGTATTTTTTGATATTCTTATACTTGATATAGTAAATCTTCAATAGATGGATCATCTACAAAAAATTATATACAAAATACTAAAGTCTGTGTCAGTACCTCATCATCGCTCTTACCGTCGAGACGTGATAGTTTCTCCGCTCTGAACTATAAACAAGGATAAATAGTCAGTGCATTAAAAACCTAATCTAAAAGTTTAAAAGCGCGAAGTGAACTGCCGCCCCACCTGTCGAAGTCACGGAACTACCCACCTGGACAGGTAGTTCATCGCGGCATAAACCTGGAAGAGACTAATTACAAGGGGACAAGGAGCCATATTCAGATAAGTTTTTTAATATTTGCAATTCGTTATTACGTAAATAAGAATTCACCAAGCCTAGGGGTGTGTTTATATCTTCCCAAGTGACAAATCCGTAGAAATCAACAAGAAATAAAAAAGAGTTGAACAGGGTTAACGAACCCCTCAGCCATTCCACGTTATTCGGGAATTTTTGTAGCGTCCTTTACAATAAAAAATTGTGAGTAAAAGCTGCCGTAATTAAATTAAATACTATTACAATAGTTACTATTGCAAACATGTTTATTTTGATTGTAATAATTAGGCTTAAGCTTATAAGCATCATAATTACGGTACTTTTACTCACTATTTTTTATTGTAACGGACGCTACAAAAATTCTCGAGTAACGTGGAATGGCTGCCCTACATTAAATAGGCAAAAGATACCGAATGCCTGTACGACTAAAAGTAATCCGCCGTATAGGACGTGGCAAGTAGTACTTAATAAACACATAAATCTTATGTAAGTAAACAAACCATTTTCTAATCTTTGCTTAAATAAACAAACTACGAGACCTTTCGAGTATAAAAAAAATAAATGGTAAAAGCAGTAAAAATAAATAAATGCAATTTCTTAATTGTTAAATAAGAAAGGAAAACGTAAATACATTTTAATCGCAACAAGAAAACAACGAATAGTCGTTTTTAATAAATAGTTATTCTACTATTTCATAGTTAAATTAAGTAATTAAATTATGGATTGCTTAGTTGAGTAAACAAAAACTATTCTAAAAAACTTTAAAACAAACCCAATTATGACTGTTGCATTCGTTAAAATTTGTCTAACCATTAGAGACTGCCTTTCCGCTGGAACAATGAGTCAAAACTTATAACGAGTCATTTTGAGTGTTTCTAAGAGTGTGGGGAAAGTAAAAATAACACCCCAGTGGGACAAACAACTGCGTGTAGCAGATTCCGAATTCCAGCAGATCGGACAGACCCGGATGAAATACAAGACTAGCAAGGATGTCCAAGTATCGTACTATTAACCCATGCCTTATTTATGAACCCAAATTTAATGAGGTCATTACTAATACCCTGTTGAGGGGGAGTCCGAATTGTACTTAGTTTTGGGTCAGTTCAAGGCCCCCAAAAACCAACTGTTGTCCCTCTTTGTCCTAGACTCCACTGAAAATTCGGATCCACCAAACACAGGTAACGCTGTGCAGTGGCGGGATACGAAACGAACCGAAAGGGGATAAAATAACCCTGGAAGATCAGTTTAAGGCGTAGCCAATGCGGCCTGCCATACGTTCTTATACTCATACTTATACCAAAGTCTGTGTCAAGTTACGTAATGAAATATTGTCATTACTGCTATGATATAATTGGTCAGTTGTACCAATGATAGCAATCCTTTTATTAAACTTTTATTTTCCATTTTAATTTGAAACTGCTTTATTATGTCACAGAATTGCACTTGTACAGGGTGTCCCGCTTAAAGTTGACCCCCCATTATTTTCCTTATTCTCAGAATATTTTTGTCAAACAAAAACCTCTCTTGATTAATTTTTTATATATTTTTTTAATATGATATCAAATTTCAAATAATTTTAATTTATACAAATTTTTTAATTTAATTTAATTTTTTAATGGAATGCCCTATATATTTTGTTGCAGTTTTATAGGTGGTTTCAAGGTGAACTTAAAAATATATAACACTTATTTACTTCTTAAATAATAATTATATGATACATAATAAGGGCAAAGCACTACGCTTACTGGTAAAGAAGAAACAATAAGCAAGCCATTATTTTTATGCTACTCTGGCTTGAATAAAAAATAAGCTATACCTAATAGTAGAATAACAAAATATTAAGCTACATATAACAAGTTTTCTATAGACCCCTCATTATTTTCTATGCAAATATTACGTCTTTTAATGAAATTAATTAAAACCTTTTCATTGAAAATTGGAGTTATTTAATTTTTTTTTGCAACGATTAACTTCTGAAGATGTTTTCTTTTCTTTTAGAGTTCCCCAAAGAAAATAATCAAGCGGATTAAGATTTGGGCTCCGGGCTCCGGACTGCCCATAAAATAATTCCATTTCTCCCGGGCCAAGTAGGATATCTATCATTTAAAAAATCCAGAACCGCCCTTATGTTATCTAAATTATGCCAAATTAAACTATTTCTTTGGTGAAGGGGTAGGTTGTTAATAAATTGATCAATTTCACCATGTAGCTATTCTAAATACCTTTGTCCTGTGACATATAATTAGGAGCCGCTTAGTTTTTAGATACCGTAAATGATAAGTTAATTAAAGCAGAATTGTCAGAATTAATAATAGCGTGCCAATGAGCGGCAGATAATCTACGTTTTGAGTCATATGTATCAAATAACTGCTTTACTACAACTGGATAGTTTGCATTCGAAATTGTAACGAATTTTACAATGTTCAGCTGTTCACCATTTAATGATGAAATCAAATAATGATAATTTTCAATATCTGTTAAGATTGAATTTAAATGAACTAAAGCGACTATAAATCTTTGAAAGAACTCCATTCTGTAAAATTACCTTACCATCAAACTTGGTTAAATTTAATTTAGGTTATTTAACATTATTATGAGTAGCAGTGACGCAGTGAGTCTTGAGCTAAGCGGTCACGTTGCGTCAAGCCTCTCGAGTCGAGAGTTCCGTACTTTCTTTCATAGTTCCATCACCGCTAAAGTTCAATAACAAAAAATCAATATCGATTCTACACGTGATAACTGTCGAAAAGAGTGCAAATTGTGTGTGGTACCTCCCCCTGGATTAAGTCCTCAAGTGTTTACCTGGATAAAAGGAGTGAGAGAGACGATCAGTTCTAATGGAAAATTTCCTGGGCTACCAGGATCAATTTCAGCACACCTGCCTGGCAATTATCCCGAAGTCCAAGTCTGCATAAATTAGATAAGTAGCTATCAAAATTGCATGACCATATAATACCCAATAATATTAATACTAGTTAATACGAAATCCGCAACCTTTATAAAGTTATAACTAACAAATAAGTCGTCAGGTAAAATTAATTAGTCGCAAACAATTTCCAAGATTCTCATGCAAAAATGAAACATAGTCCAAAAAAACTTTAAACACAAGGGCACATAAGAAGCCATTAATCACTCAAGTTACGATAAACACTAGGCAAAAGAAACCATCTTAAAGAAATAAACATCTGTAGATTACTAAGACGTTAAGGGGATCATAAATTAGGTAAAAACCGTTCAAAGCGTAAATAAACATCAGCACAGCACAGTGAGGCGCAAAGATGGACCCAACCCCAAGTGAATGGGGATCACGCACAGTGGGAAAAAAAATCGAGGGTTGGCAATTTCAGTATGTTAAACAAAGGCGGGAAAAACAGCTGCTTATGAAGTCGGTTCTCGGCATGAGGGGCTGAATTTCCACATAGTCAGAGGACACTTATTACGGCGGGGTGCGGTCGGAAACACTTCGGTTCTAAAGAAAAGACTCATTATCGCACAGGGGGGCAAACAATTCTAAAGCGGCTACCAGGAACCGAAATCCGACTCGGATAGCGACGAACATGAATTACACCATCAAGGAAAGGCTCTAGCAGCATACTAATCCACCTACCCCCATTCAGCAATCCCAACTGAATGGGGTTACTACTAAAGCCCTGGTTGAGGAGGATTCCGGATTGTACTTAGTTTTGGGTCAGTTCAATGTCCTCCAAAAACCCTTCCTAAACTGGACGTATGGCCCGACCCGGCTGACAAAAATCCGTGGAGCGGCCTTAACCATAGACTGTCATCCATGACCCCCTAGGGTGGATCTACCAGCCGGCGTAAAAACTTCGGATACAACAAACACAGGTAATGCTGCGATTTGGCGGGATACGCAGGAGAACGAAAAGGGGGTAAAATAACCCTGGGAGATTGTCTTTGGGGCCTTCCATACGTTCCCATACTCATACTTAACATTATTATGAGTACCACTAGGAGAGGCAGTAACTCCAAATAGCGCATCATCCTACATTTAAATTTTCCAATAATATTCATTAAATAATTTTGCTGTATCTTTCTTTCTATCCTTATCTTGTTTTTTAATAGCTTCAATTTTATCGCCATCATATGCAATAGAAAGATCAATTTCATCTGTTATTTTAGCACACTATAACACAAATCCGTTGTTCTAAAAGAAACTTTAAAATTATTTAATTTAGATGCATCAGCTTCCGCAGCTTCAGCAATCGCCAGTATGCGTTAAAGACGCTTTGGTAAATTTGTGTCGTACCTAGGCTGGTTATGGCCTTAAGTACTTCACCAAGGTTCCTCTACGGTTGACTCTCCAGATATAGAGGAATACCTACCTCGGGTTGCTTTTATTCAGTGG